AACGAGGGTGATATCGAGTGTAATAAAAGTGATTTAGCCAAGGGTTAACTCATAGAAGCCAAGAAGCTTTGAGCTACAGAGGGAAATCGTGCGTAGAAATCGCGATCGAGGTGCAAGCTGTGATAGTGGCACGTGCTGCCATCTGTGGTGACTTTGAGAAGCAGTAGTTTATCTGGTTCCGTGTGGTGGAGTCAGGTTACTGAGGTCCGGTGTGCGGCAAATCACTGGACTTCCTGCTTTTATTGGAACTTTGCCAGGCTTTGCAGGATTTACAGTTCTTGTAATGCGTGATGTAGCTCGCATTTTGTCGTATACGGTGAATGCCAGGCACGCTGATCAGCGAGGGAATCATGCAGTGGGCTTATTGGTAAGCACAGGGCACAATGCTTCTGAAGCATGTATGTCGTTTGTGGCTTCTTTTGCTCTCGTACGGCTCAGGCGACAATCATGCGAGCTAAGCTACTATGTGGGTTTGCAAATCATGCCTTACGGAACGAATTTGGAATAATATTTAAGTAACATTCGTACCGGTTATATTGCGAATTGTTCGTGGCCAAGTGTTGCGATTGCCACGTACGAATGAGCTTACGTAGTTCAGTGCGACTATAAAATCTAGCTGAGGTTTTCTCCTGCTACGGATCATCCCCTATGGACGCCACGTGGTTATGGAAAATAATGGATAGATTTTCCGTAAACGCGCGTGCCTTTTTGTAAATAGCTGCGTAGTTTGCAATTTGCATGTGCGATAAACGTGTTGTGATATCGCACACTCTGCGTCGAGGAAAGAGATTTGCGAAATAATGCAAGAGTCGCCAGGAACTTCATAGCGCTGGCTCGATTTTGGCCTCTAAGGCCGCAAAGTTGTCTGTTGTATGTGTGCGTGTGGTAGCGTGTTGTTTTTGTTTATTTATTGCTATTTATTTTGTAATTGCGAGTGTACTGTCAGACCTTTTTATGCAGCGTCTCTTTTAGGCTGATGCGCTGCAATTTCATAATAAAATTTGCGTGATTATTGTGAACTTATTACATTGCCTAAGCCTTAACTCATCTCTGCCTTAGATGCAAGCTGCTTTGAAATATTTTATTTATGATTTTATTTCTATATGTAACGATGAAGGGTCTTGATAATGCTATTGATTCTCCACAAATAAGAACTAATCGCTCTTCCTCACGATAATCGTAAAGTTCGACCGTCCTAGCTTATGCACTGTACCCTTAACCTACATCATGATCAACTTTCTCCTTTCTCAACGCAACGGCCAACACTTGGATCCAGCGTCTCCCGAAAACCGACGACGATGACGACGACGACCTTCTCGTTACCCTTTTGATCGTCAGGCTTGTGGGCGTACGACTCACACGGTTTCTCAAAACCCGGGCCGTTCTGTCTATGAGCCATACCTAGCGCAGGACGAGCGCCCTCGTGAGCAGCTCTTCTGGTTAGGTTGGCCATACCACATCTAATGTGTGTAGGATTCATGTTCAATGGCGTCTAGGGGAGATATTAGAGGCTGAAGTTTATTAAAACGCTGTTGATGACTCGAACGGACCTTTCTTCCCTGTATAGTCTTCATCTTCCTTGAACAGAGTCTGCAGGGCCGATAACTTGGCGAGGACCGTTCGTGCCACACTGACACACTCTGACACAGACTGCTACCTCATGACACGGATTGTGTCACTTGACTCGACACTGAGCAGCCACAAACGCCTGATACTCGCTGCACCATTACCTCTGAGCACGGCTTACATCGCTAATTGTCCAGTGACCAGCCACCACAGCCTGTGTTACATATAAACAGAGTGGTACAAATGTACTCGCTACTCGCTCCCAGCCCGGGCAATGCTTAACTGCAACACATCAATTGCAGCTTGGAGTGACTTAAGTGAGCTCAGCTCATGTTCACTGCATGCCTAGTCCATACGCGGACAGGTTTCGTGTGATGACGTAACATTTGCATCACTTCCTCTGTGTGTAAAGTATTGCATACGGGCCAGTCTCCTGTGATGACGTCATTCTGATGTCACATCCTCTGCGTGAAGCATGCAGGGGCGGTGGAAGAGCCACGTTCTAGCGGAGGAGGGACTAAGATGGTCGGTCGTCTCCGATCCCTGTAATTTATCTTTTTCTAGGCTTCTGATCCTTGATGCTCAATTCCCTGTCGCCCTGGTTTTCAGTTATGTTCTCTGACCTGCACCGTAAAACAATGTAGAACATGACCTATACGCGGCCGTTTATTAATTTCAAGGCGATATTGTCAAACATTTGATAAATGAGACAAAACATGACAAAACGTACATCACGGCCATTACGCTAAAAAAGTGATTGACAAGCGATGAGATCCCACCAGCATAAGCAATACGACTATCGCCTCTGAGTGCCGTTTTACAAAAAGCATTGGCACCACTATGACACGCAATACGCATGACGCACCCACACCTTTCCTATCCACATACCTAGGTATATACAAAGCGTACTTACACCGACAAAAAGACCTGGGCTGTCGCCGCAAACACCTTCTTCCACAGCTTGTTTGACTCGACACCCCGGCGCTGGCACATGTTCCGCATGCTGGCACCAGCACCTTCTCTTAGATTAGTACGCACCAACCTCCCTTGGCATCTCCGCCCTTGCCTTCATCAGGCTGGGAGGGGTGCTTGTCGCATGGTTTCGTGTGTCCCGAGCCGTCGCGTCTATGGTTGAGCCCTTTGCAAGACGGGTGAAGGGCATGGCTGGACAAGTTGAGACTTCTGTTGGCTTTGCTGGCTTCCAGAGCGCGCTTAGCATCCATGGTTTAGAGGCAAGTTAAATTCACCACCCGGAAGATTGCTAGAGGATGGATTCCTCCTCTCTACACATACAAAGCACGGCGTTCTTTTAGATGAGCCTTCAGTCCTTCAGGGTTGATGGGCTTGCACGGTAGGTACGCGGCTCGTGATACACGTTGGCAAGGACGTTGTTGACGCGGGTCGCCTCTGAGCGTGTCCCAGCGAGACACGAAGCGTACCACTCCCAGCTCCGACCACTTATCGACCACCTCTCAGCGAGATCTGAACTAGCATCAGCAGCCTTATAAACATGTAAATATCATATCTTGACGTCACTTCCTCTGTGTGATGAATGCTGCATAGAGGTCAGTCTCGGGTGATAGCGTCACTCTGGTGTTACTTCCTCTGCGTAAGGCATGCAGGGGCGATGGAAGAGCCACATTCTAGCGGAGGAGGGACTGAGATGCTCGTCTCCAACCCCTCTAATTTATCTTTTTCTAGGCTTCTTATCCATGATGCTCAATTCCCTGTCGATCTGGTTTTCAGTTATCTGCTCTGACCTGCACCGTAAAACAATGTAGAACATGACCTATACGCGACCGTTTATTAATTTCAAGGCGATATTGTTGATAAATGAGACAAAACATGACAAAAATGTACATGACGGCCATTACGCTTAAAAGCCCAGCCCATTGACAAGCGACGAGGACACAACCAACACGGTTAACATCTTTGCGTGTTTTTACCAAGAGCATTGATATAAATGGCACGTATCAAATCAACACCCTACGCATATGCATCCCTACAAAGAAAGCCGGCGTGTCTCCATAAACATACCTATTGCAGTAGAAGCTTCTTTATACAGCTTGAGACAGACTAAATGGTCTACACCCCGGCGCAGGCTAATTTTGTGTCCGCATGCTGGCACTATCACCATCGCTCAACCAGTCTGCACTGGTCAGTCAGTCTCATAATCAGTCTCAGCCAGTCTCAGAGCCTTCGCAGGGAAGACGGCCGCGATGGTGGCTGCCGGTGCCCCTCGCCGACCTTGCCTCCAGCTGGCTTGATGGGGTGCTTCTCGCATGGTTTCTTAAAGCCCGAGCCGTGCTGTCGATGGTTGAACCCTTTACAAGAGGGGTCAAAGTCGCTGGGAACTCTGAATTTGCTGGCTTCCAGCGCGCGCTTTATTGCCTCGGCATCCATGGTTTAGAAGCAAGTTGGAGCTGAGAATAGGCACCCTGGAGAAGATTGCTTGATGAACTATTCTTCCTCTCTTTACAAAGCTCGGCGCTCTTAGAGATGAGCTGTCAGAGTTGATGAGCTCTCACGGTATACGAGTCGTGTTACACTCGACTCTGAGCGTGTCACTTCCAGCTCCGACCACTTCCCAGCCAGCTCTGAACGAGGTCTGAACTTGCACCGGCGGATGTCTGCGTTATAAACAGAGCGCTCGTCGTCTACGGCGCACAAGCAGTGTGCACTGTGCGCGCATACGTCACGCAGGTTTATCCGACGGGGAAGCACCTTCACCACAGTGCAAGTGAGACGAGACGGGATTGGTGGAAGCTGCATCTCGCACCAATGTGCCATCAGTGCCAGCCGTCGCGGGGTTCCCCGTGGGTTCCCCGCAGCGTCGATGTCGACGGGATGGGGGTGGGGAGGGGGAGGGGAGAGTCGAAACCGACGACACTGGTGCTGAGAAAGGTGTGGGATTTGTGGTGGCGGTGTGCAGTGAGAGACTGGGACTTGTGGTTTGAGAGAGAGAGAGAGAGAGAGAGAGAGAGAGAGAGAGAGAGAGAGAGAGAGAGAGAGAGAGAGAGAGAGAGAGAGAGAGAGAGAGAGAAAGAGAGAGAGAGAAGAGAGAGAGTCGGGAAAGAGAGAGAAAGAGAGAGAGAAAAAAAATTGAGAGAGAGAGAGAGAGAGAGAGAGAGAGAGAGAGAGAGAGAGAGAGAGAGAGAGAGAGAGAGAGAGAGAGAGAGAGAGAGAGAGAGAGAGAGAGAGAGAGAGAGAGAGAGAGAGACCCCTTCCAGTCGGCAGTCCCGCCTCTTTCGGTGCACAAACCAGTGGGCTGAATTAAAAATAAAAACCATCAATTTAAATATAATTCACTTTTCATGAGCCGTATCAGTATGACTCGCCACCTTCCAACCCCCCTCTCCACGTGTTCTGGACGCGCCCCTGTCGCCAGATGGTTCACTTGTTTGGCTTCTTGCCAGCGCAGCCTCAAGGTCACGGGTACGGGCCTGTTTATTGTGGGCCGGCCAACGAGTGACTGGGATCGTGGTCCATTCTTGCCGGTTCTCTCTGTAGCGTGTGTGATCTGATCTAAGAAGTGTCATCTATTGAGTCACGGCTAAGCCACCTGCCGGTGACGTCATCATTGTCAGCTGGCCGGTGTCGTTGGGTGGCAGTGAGGTCTCGCGTCATCGGTGAATAGAGTTAGGTGAGTGCCAGGGGCGGAGTGGGCGGTGTCATCTTCGGGGGTGCTGACACGGTTAGGGGGGGGGGGGGGCGCTGTTCCAAATCCAGCTCTAGCTATGGGGTGTAGAGATAACAAAAATCGTCCCTGGCTTGATATTGGAGAATATCAGGCATTATGTAATAGTTCAATCCTCGTCAGATTGTATTTCAAATTTAATTCCACAGCAGGGCCTATTTTAACATGTTAACTGGGGGGGGGGGGGGCAAATGCCCCCACACTCAATAGCATTGCCCCCCCAGTCGTCGAGATTTGCCCACTATAAAAATGGGCATAAAGGAACAGGGTGACAAACATATGTACTACTGTGACTTGTTTTGCAATGGATGTCAAATGAGTCAGTCTGCAAGTAATGACCAGTGGTGGATCCAAGGGTGGGTCATATGGGTCATGACCCCCCGCCCCCTTGGGGCCCGGGGACACCACAGACCTGCCAGGGGCACCACAGGCCTGTTGGGAGCACCATCGACCTAGCAAGAGCACCTAGATCTGCCAGGGGCACCACAGACCTGCCAGGGGCCCCACCGACCTCGCAGGGGCACCTTGGGCCTGTCAGGGGCACCACGGGCCTGTCGGGGGCACCTCAGGCTTGTCAGGGCCAAGGGACACCACAGTCCTTTCAGGGGCACCACAGGCCTGTCAGGGGCACCAGAGGCCTAGCAGGGACACCACATGCCTGGCAGGGGCACCACCGGCCTCGCAGGGACACCACCTGCCTCGCAAGGGTATCATGGGCCTGTCAGGGGCACCACGGGCCTGTCGTTGGAACTATAGGCTTGTCAGGGGCACCACAGTTCTTTCAAATGCACCGGCGGCCTAGCACCATGGCACCATGTTTGGCCGGGATCGCGATTCGGCGTATGTCGCCTCGCATTAGCCGCGCGTTTGCAGTCTTTTCGTGGTTTCAAACGTTCAAACATGGGAAATGATGTTGCTCCCATGCATTAGGGTGGGTGTCAAGGTCACCGGAAGGTCAGGTCAGGTCATTTACCTTTGATGACCTGGGCTCACATTTTCGAGTTTTATATGTTTCTAGGCTAGTTTTTGGAGCTGTATTCGAATTTAGCAACCATTTGACCGTTTACGAAGTAGTTTTGGTGCCTTCGCAACATGTTACGAAGCTGTCAGAGGTGGTTGCCACCTACTACGAATACGCGGCAAAACCCCTGGTTGACCTGACCTGACCTGACCTGACCTGGCCTAAATGCATGAAGACATCATCTATGATCATAACTAACATGATATTCGTGATCAGCACCCCGGAAAAACCATAGCAGCCACCCTTTACGACGCTCTAACAGGTCCCGATTTTCCCGACTTTTGAGTCATTGACCTGACCTGGAAGGTCAACCGATGACCTAGGACCTTAAAATTGGGTATCATCGGTTTCCTTTCATCACGGGCAACACGGTCGTTTCTAGCTCGATCAGGGGCGAAACGGCAAGGGGAAGGGGTCCAACGGACCCCCCCCCCCTAATATTCGTTCGCAGCTGGAAACACCAATACGGGCGAGGGTTAATGGATTATTAAAGACAATTTTTCAGGTTGCCCCCCCCCCCAGTCAAATTCCCTTAAAATAGGCTCTGTTCCACAGAGAAGCAACAGAGCGGTGGTGAATGGTAGAAAAGAGTCCACCCATTGCCTCATTTATGTGCCCTCGCACGCAGCATTATGAATGGCTCAGTATGAAATGTAACTGACTCTTATTTGCCGAACGGAAAACATTGCTAAGCGGAATTTCCTTATTTTTTCCATAATACATATGTTTGGGTTTCCTTTTTTCGTTTAAACCGTTGGGTTTGCATTGCATTCACGACATCAGTATGCATCACCGTTCCGTTTCCAACTGTGTTGAATGCCTGTCTTGTTTACCGTCCCTTTCGCCTCTTCCCAGTGGCGCGGGAACCGGGGGGGGGGGGGGCTAGCGGGGGCTGAGCCCCTCCAACTTTTCGGCTGGGGGGGCTCGTAATGTATTTGAGCCCCCCAGCTGGAGGAATCGAAATAGGAAATCTACCAAATTCCAAAATAATTTCATAGATTCATACATAGGCGCGGAAACCGGGGTAGAGGGCAGTGGGGGCCTGACTTTTCATGAGGTCAGGAACCGTTGAGGCAGCTTGTCCTCCCCAAATTAGGGGTTGTGGGTCACAAAGGAAGAAAGCATGTAAGTGAAAAATCCACCTCTTTCACTGGCTCGGCAACTCATTTGGCAAATTAAAACCTTTATTCCAGGTTGCCAAAACGGTAGTTTCTTCACTCAGCTGAGACGGAATACCTGACTTTTTTGCAAATATTTTCGTTTTTTTTTTGTTGAAAAGGCCAAGGTCTGAAAAATAAGTGGCCTAAAACCGGTGAGAAAACTAGATTTGGGGGTACCCTAGGTTGATCTCTATTATGGTTCAGCCCCCCCAGTCTGGAAGAAGTTCCCGAGCCACTGCGGCTCTTCCGGTCTTACTTGCCGCCTTGCCGGTAGCTACCTGACGCCAATGATATTGGTCACCACTGGATCACCAGAAGGAAGAGCTAGAAACCGCCATGTCGGAAGTTTTAAGACCTTTGTGCCATGTGGGCCCAAAAGATTTCGTTCTCATTCCCAAATTTATGCCCCGGCACCTGGGACCTCTCCCATCCTTTGTGATAAAACCGGGGGTCCATGTAGGGCAGGGGTCGCAGCAACACACACTTAATTAACTGCAGACTTATTAATAGGGTTTTAAGTCAAACATTTTAACAAATCATTTTTTTCAGTAGCCCAAACACATGGTTTTCTGGGTGGTTATTCTAAAAGCCGGTTCTCTGGGCTGAGTTTTATTCTCGGGGACCAGGACCGTAAATAAAAATTTCAACTTTACTCACAACTCACCAGCCACCCATTTACAACTCTGACCGTAACTTTGGGTGCTGCCTCTGCGTCGCGAAAAGCGTGTCAATCGTTTGGCATCTGCCACCGTGGACCAGGCCTGTCAGTCCAATTCAGTTATACGCGGCCATAGCCTCAGCTGACAGCTATAGTCTGATGCCCATATTCATATCCAAATTAGGTACTTGATACGTGCTAGAAAATCTTTGTGCATAAACTTCCGGTTTCCAGGTACAGAGGTGTAGGACTGGTCTGGTACACTGTACCGATATTGTAACACTAACGCCAATCGTTGAGGTGGTGCCAAACTCACCTACCGGCCGAGATGAGTCATCGTCCCGTCACACCGGTTTGTCTAGCTCGGCCCAGAGCCTGGCCCGGTCTGCGTGCGGACGCGGGGGTTCCCTCATCTTCGTCAGTCAGTGTGTACGGTACAGAGGACTGGACCGCCGCACAGGCAAATGTCACGCCACTGTCTGCTGATCAGATCGATTTCATCATCAGGAGTTCCCCATCGCGTTCTGGAAATTAGCGACACGCTTACGCACCTTCAGAACCACAATCGCTCCTGCTCGCTGTATGTGTAATATCTTTTGGTATAATGAAAACTTAGCTATATGGACAGTTTCGTGACATGGTATAGGCTATTTTAGTATAGGTATGTTTCTTGAGAGATTCTTCGGAATGCCATAAAGCTGGGTGGTATTGCATGGGAGTGAAGACAAATGAGCCTCGACGCGTTGTTCAAAGGATATCCTTCAAGCCGATGATATTATTTCACTTCCAGTGAGCATCGATTGATCTTTATTGCCGCCTGTTAATACGAACAAAGCGAATTTTGTAATATGAGGAATCAGACATGTTTGCGTAGGGACTCTGTAACCGGAACGTCTGGTATTTAGAATTTTGTCGTCATCTTTGTTTGCATATAGGTGTGAAAGGAAGTTTAAATGTATTTCTTGTTTCTGGACAACGTGGATCATTTTATTCAATCATTTTTGCAATATCTGTTTAAGAGTTTAGACAAAATCCGTAGACCTTGATCAAACATTTTTGATGAGTTAGTTGCAAAAGTGACTTGCGACACTAATAACCTGGTTACCGACGGCTGATATCGGTACCAATTCTTTTGCGCTAATGCACAATCACACATTTTCATTGATGAAAAACTCAAGTGGTGTGTGAGCCGACTGTCTGGCCGTTGGATACTAATTTTATCAGTGACGTCGCGCTGTATTGCCTGATGTTGCTAGATATGACGTCATATCATGACTATCTTATCCGTTATCGTTATGGGCGCGGTAGCTGATTATTTGGTAATGCAGTGAAGATATGTCATATTAACATGCAAGAATGAATTCAATAGATAATCGTATATCTTTTATCAAAGAGCTCTTGTTGGAGTGGTAGTAAGTGTTGTATGAATGGGGATATGTCACCACGTAAATCACCCGCTCCTTGGAACATGAACGAGGAAAATGTGGCGACGACCTCTGCTCTTTATGACCCAGTGCCCTGTGCCCTGTGTCAAAGGTGAATAATTTCCGATGCGGGGATTCTGGAGTGCCGAAGGCTGAGTGGGAGCCTTCCCCTCCCACAGACAAAGAGTCCCCCCCCCCCCTGCCACCCCCCCCCATGCAAAGTGGCAGTGAAACAGCGACGAGGGGCGTCGTTTCGACAGTCCCGTGAGTCCCTTGAGTCAGAGTCGTGGCGGGCGCACCACTGCACTGGTGGCGGGTACTTTGTCCTTCAGTGCCATCTACCAGCTTCCTGGAGCGCCTTCAGATGTTCCTTGAGCGTGGAGGTGCCCACTTCGAGCACATGCGCAAATAAAAGAGAGAGACGTACGTACACATCCCATTTTTGAAATGACGATCGCAACGTCAGTAACGGTTCCTTTGAAACTTTTCCATAAAATAGGTATCGTATAATTTGTCAAACGATTTTTGAAGTTGTGGAAGTTTCTTCTTCGTATTTTTTTTACCACTTTCCAAAAATTACTGCTGAAAAGTTCGATCCAAATTATCACCGGTGAACCGGACGCGGGCAAGGGGTGGTGGGTCCGTGGTGTCATTCGCAACAAGCACTGCTTGGCGGGGCACCC